TTTCGCATCGCATCGTCGTGCACAACCCTTTTAGAGCTCTATACGACAATATTAAAAATTTTTTAAATGACATTAATTTGAAAATTAATTTTAGATTTTTACCATTTTTTTCAACTTTAAAGAGTTGTAAAAATTAAAAAAAAACATATTTTGACTTGCTTGAGGTAGGGGCTATAGCCACGCATATGCTGAAGATGTGTGCACAAGCCCGAATTGATTGGTCAATTGGTTTTCGAGATATTATGGGTACCTATTTAAAAAACGTGGTTTCGAGAACAACGCGTTTCTTTGTACTGATTACATAGATTGAGACCACTCTCTATCAAGTGTTATGGCCGGTATTCATAAGTCGGTTTTTATTTTAAAGACGTCTTAAGTAATGTCTTAAGATGCTAACACGGCTCTATTATTGGCTTGTAACATTTTAAGACTATGCTTAAGACGATCTAGCTTAAATATAAGAATCGATTACGAGTACCGGCCTATAACTTTGTTAATTTTGCGAATCAGACTAAATCCTTTTGCAGACATATTTTCCATATCAAATACTTGCAAAATATTATGTAAAAAAAATCGATTTTTCCGATCCGCTAGACTAGAATACCCCCTTAAGAAAGTCGCTGCGTACAGATCGATGTACCTGATGACTTGATTGATGAAAAACATTTGTCTACTTCCCTTGCGAAGCAGAAAGCTCATCATACCGTAAGTTAAGCCCATTTTGAGCATGAGATATATCCCTTATCGACGCGCGTAACTTGGAGACCGGCTTTTTTTGTACTACTGTCTAAATTTCTGAACAGAGTATCGTGGACGTGGCATTAATAAAAATATGTTTCAAGTATTTTATCTAACGTATTTATTATTATCGCGATAACATTACTTACTTGTACATATCCTCGAGTATAACGTCCAAACTCTGCACTAATTTGGCAAACAATTGACATTTGTCGGTCCAAATGTGTGACTCTTGAACCAACTCGGGGACTATTAATAATGACCTCCAGCCTCTTATTTTCTTGCTCTTTAAAATATTACCAAATATTTGATCACCGATAATGTAACATATTTTTTCCTTTTGCGACATTTAATTCTGTAAAAACATGTTGCACAAATCTCCTGAGTTCCTCTTCTTTTTTAAACAAAGTCAACGATTAAAAATCTCAGCCAAGCAAAAAAAAGAGTTTTCTATAAATTTAACTTGATATTTTTTATTACCTGTGTGAAGTGGCTCTTTATGTGTATCAAGTTTTAAAGCACCCGTCTTCGTATCCTCCTTGTCATAAGATTGTTCCTTCTCCAAAAATCAATTTTCTAGGGTCTACTACAATTGTGTAGAAATAGATTTTCCAATTTCTATGCGATTCGTCAGGCTAAAATGAAAGCAATAGTAAAAAATCTATTTATGGTATATACTTATAATACTTGTGTGTGTATTTTCATTATGAATATATTTCTCGCACTTACAAAATCAAAAAGATTATTTTTTGAGTAAAGAATTTAGAAGAATTGTAAATAAAAGAATTTTTTATATAAATATATAGAATCAATTTTAAATTAACTGAATAAAGAAGTAAAATTTTATTATAGTGTCATAATACAAATTGTTTAATATATCAAGGAATTCTTCAAATTGTTAACTTTCGCATGGCACACGTAGCTCATTAAATTGTTTAGGGCAATTAATTTGAAGAATGTAGATAGTTTAAATGTGGCAGTAAAACGTACAAAGAAAAGGAAGACTACGTTCTTAGAAACTTAATTTTAGCTACATAGAACATGGCAAAAATAGGAATGCGCTACTAAAATTTAATATGTTTTATAATTGATTTAAAAAGAAGGCAGTTCTACAGAGTGTCTCATTTTAATGTTCTACCCCAAATAACTTTTTTATTTTTAATCTTAGAAAACAATGTTTCAGACGAAAGTTATATGGCTTTGAAGGGGACATAAGATGATAATATTGGTTTGACCCTGAGTGGCGTCATCAAGGTCAGGACTAGGTTTGAATTTTTTAAATGGAACCCCCTATTTTTCATTGCATATTCTTGTAGCTTGTTTCAAGAGCTTTCCAAAAAGACATAGATAAAATGTATTTTGGTTAAGTAAATCTTGAATTATAAAGCTTGAAAGTTACAGTACCACCGGCATTAGCATTATCTAAGGTGTCCGAACAATGGCTGAAACCTTTTGAATGTTGTTCATGAGCTTGACAAACATGTGTCAAAGTCATGATTATAGATCGGAAGAGCACACGT